CTTCTTTGGAGTTCCTTGCCGAGCTAATCTTGCTCGCCAAGAAGCAAGTCACCGAGCGAACTTTGCTCGCCGACCTTGGGGTTCCTTGCCGAGCTGATCTTGCTCGCCAAGAAGGAAGTTGCGGAGCGGACCTTGCTTGCCTTCTTTGGAGTTCCTTGCCGAGCTGATCTTGCTTGCCAAGAAGCAAGTCACCGAGCGGACTTTGCTCGCCGACCTTGGAGTTCCTTGCCGAGCTGATCTTGCTCGCCAAGAAGGAAGTTGCGGAGCGGACCTTGCTCGCATTCTTTGGAGTTCCTTGCCGAGCTGATCTTGCTCCCAAGAAGCAAGTCGCCGAGCGGACCTTGCTCGCTGACCTTGGAGTTCCTTGCCGAGCTGATCTTGCTCGCCAAGAAGAAAGTCGCCGAGCGGACCTTGCTCACCGAGCATGGAGTTCCTTGCCGAGCTGATCTTGCTCGCCAAGAAGGAAGTAGCGGAGCGGACCTTGCTCGCCTTCTTTGGAGTTCCTTGCCGAGCTGATCTTGCTCGCCAAGAAGCAAGTCGCCGAGCGAACCTTGCTCACTGACCTTGGAGTTCCTTGCCGAGCTGATCTTGCTCGCCAAGAAGAAAGTCGCCGACCTTGGAGTTCCTTGCCGAGCTGATCTTGCTCGCCAAGAAGGAAGTAGCGGAGCGGACCTTGCTCGCCTTCTTTGGAGTTCCTTGCTGAGTTGATCTTGCTCGTCAAAGAGCAAGTCGCGGAGCGGACCTTGCTCACCGACCTTGGAGTTCCTTGCTGAGCTGATCTTGCTCGCCAAAAAGAAAGTTGCGGAACGGACCTTGCTCAGTTTCTTTGGAGTTCCTTGCCGAGCTGATCTTGCTCGCCAAGAAGCAAGTCGCCGAGCGGACCTTGCTCGCCGACCTTGGAGTTCCTTGCCAAGATGATCTTGCTCGCCAAGAAGAAAGTCGCCGAGCTGACCTTGCTCGCCGACCTTGGAGTTCCTTGCTGAGCTGATCTTGCTCGCTAAGAGACAAGTCGCGGAGCGGACCTTGCTCGCTTACCTTGGATTTCCTTGCCGAGCTGATCTTGCTCGCTAAGAAGGAAGTTGCGGAGTGGACCTTGCTCGCCTTCTTTGGAGTTTCTTGCCGATCTGGTCTTGCTCGCCAAGAAGCAAGTCGCCGAGCGGATCTTGCTCGCCGACCGTGGAGTTCCTTGCCGAGCTGATCTTGCTCGCCAAGAAGCACGTCGCCGAGCGGACCTTGCTCGCCGACCTTGGAGTTCCTTGCCGAGCTGATCTTGCTCGCCAAGAAGGAAGTTGCGGAGCGGACCTTGCTCACTTTCTTTGGAGTTCCTTGTCGAGCTGATCTTGCTCGCCAAGAAAGAAGTTGCGGAGCAGACCTTGCTTGCCTTTTTTGGAGTTCCTTGCTGAGCTGATCTTGCTCGCCAAGAGACAAGTCGCAGAGCTGACCTTGCTCACCTACCTTGGAGTTCCTTGCCGAGCTGATCTTGCTCGCCAAGAAGGAAGTTACGGAGCGGACCTTGCTCACCTTCTTTGGAGTTCCTTGCCAAGCTGATCTTGCTCGCCAAGAAGCAAGTCGCGGAGCGAACCTTGCTCGCCTTGGAGTTTCTAAACCGAGAAAAGTGGATCACCGAGCAAAAAGTATAGCCCGGCCTTGTAATGTAATCCCAGTCACGCTAGCGCAGACGGAATTAAGGGACAATTGAGAGGGGGATTTTCGAAATCTCGACTCGGGCCGCGGTTCTGGCCGGGCTGAATGTGGTCCAAGCGTATTTGGGCCTAGCTGGGTTAGGCCGAGCCGAGGTGAAGCTTGCTCGGCCGAAGTCCAGACCAGAGTTGGCCGAGAAGATCCTCTGCCAGCTTGTTTTCTCTTTTTCGCTCTTTTTAGCTCGGTGATCGTGATCTGCCGCAGATCGGCCTAACTTGTCTGGAGCACAGTCGCACCGAAGTGCTGTTGAGCTTGGTTGTGATGGAGCTCGGCGAGTGGCACTGTTGAGCTCGATAAGTAGCTCGGTCGAAAGAGGCTGAGATGATTGTCTGCCGATCCGGGTCTTATGTTCGCTCTTCCAGCCCGGCTGGAAAGGTCTTCGGTTTATCAGCTCGACCAGTTTCAGCTCGGCTATGCCGGAATGCAACCGAGCTCGATCGTCGTTGAGCTCGGCGAGCGGAGCACTCTAGCTTGTTGTGCAACACGGCCGTTGGTAGCCAAGATAATGCAGCCCGGTTGTCGAGATCCCGGTAGTGTGGGCTGGCAGTTTGGTTAGGTGATGATCAGCTAGATTTGTGCTGGCAGATGGGATAACAGCACTACGTGTCGAGAGACTAATGGGAGTAGATTTGGGGCACAGAAGGTATGTAAGCTTGTTTGCGCCCCCCATGCCTAGACGGATGAACATTTGGTGAGATAAACACTTATACTCAACTCTCTCCTCTATAGCTATCCCTGTGTGTGTCTGCTAACTTGATCGTCGGAGGGGTTTTCCGGCCACACACCGCCAGGTAGCTCACCGCCGTAATGTTTGCAGGTTGATCGGACAGACAGGAGCTTGGAAGAAAGGAGTACGGGCTTGCCTGAATATTTGCTCCCCGTACAAGTATCTTATAAGAAACTTAACAATGGCAATACAAATATATCTAGGAAATCCATACCCAATATATCTAGAAATTTATACCATAATACATTAACATTTCCCCTCAAACTCAAGGAGGATAAACATCTTGAGTTTAGAGAGAGAAACTAAAACATGAAATAAAACTAAATAAAATAAAAGGAAAATAGATTGCAAAGTCCGAACAGGAGCTCAAGGGCGCTTGAAATAGATCAGAGGCCGAAACTAATGCCGGGAGATAGTTTATAGTCATGTTGGACCGTTGTAAGAACTGGACGAAACTAATGTCGGGACAGTTTAAGGTCATATCGGACTATTGTAAGAATGAGTCAGAATCAATATCGGAACAGTTTACGGGGTCATGTTAAACCGTTGTAAAGATTGGATGTTGAACCAGCAAGCGTGACAAACACATAACTTATGACGTGGTGTTGAACGATGATGGCAACAGATGACTGAGTGCGCCACAAGGGGGCGGCTTGAATGATATGCTAGGGGGCAGCTTGGGTTATGAGCTAGAGGAGGCGGCTTGGGTGGTGTGCCAAGAGGCGACTTGGGTGGTATGCTATAGGGGGTGGCTTGAGTTATGCGCCACGGGAGACGACTTAGGTGGTTTGCATGGTGTATAACTATGTTCACCATGATATAGGTATAATACCCCCCCTCAAACTCAAATAGGTTTGAAGATAGAAACTTGTTTGAGGTTGAAACAAAGGGAAAGGCAAAGTAGAGCAGAAGCGCACAAATTGAAGCAGAAAGAAAGATAGAATGAAGCAGAAGTACAAATTTTTTTTTTCAAAATATGATAGAGATATTTGGGGTATGAATAAACCAGCAGACAAAGGAAGAGATCACCACGAAGCGATACTGACAGAAAAATATGACAGTGGAATAGGTTGAGGCCCGGCGAGTGGCCAATGCAAGGCTGTTGCCTGCCAGTAAGGCGAAAAACACCAAGAGCTTAACCTATAGCTCTCATACCATGTTCCAATAGTAGAGAGAGTGGAAATAATATATATTGTATTTAATTAATTAATCCTATACAATAAATAGAAGGCATTTACAATATAGCGAAATATTTTAATTGCTGTTATTTATTGGACTAATATGATACAATCTGTGGAATTAAAGGGAATGAAAGGAGATTATTTCAGTGGCATTAGAGCAATTAAGTAATATAAAGATAAACTTCCATAACCCTATTTGTCTACGATGGGTGAAGAAATAATTCAATTAAATTATTTCAATTGGTGATTATCATATAAACAACTTAATATAAAATTTTCAAATGAAATCAATTGAAATAAAGGGATGTGTACAGTTGATCCTAATAATTAAGACAAGTTGAGTTCAGAAATGAAACACAAGTACAATAGAATTTAATTTATTCTAGTAACTTTCATGTTAACAAAAACCTTTCGCTAAGAGAAATTATCTTCGTATTTGGCTTAGTTTTGTAATTGTAATTTTAATCAAAAAATTTAATTTAATTTTTTTTTTCAAAATTTATAATCAAACACAATTTAAAAATTATTTTAAAAACTCATAACCAAACACACAATTCAAAATTTCTTTTCAAAATTTATAACCAAAATCTTTTCAAAACTCCAATAAAAAAAATCAAATTTTCTTTCTTTTATTTATTTATTTTGTTCTTTAAAATTTTACTTAAATCATAATTTTAAAACTAAACCAAACTTACTTTTTTGTGAGTTAATTTCTTAAAACTAATTTTTTAAAGAAGATATTTGAGTAAAAACTTTCTGTCCCCTTGTTGGGAGCTTTGTTGTCATTTTATTACGACTAAAAGCATTTATTAAAAGCGTGTAAATGAATAAAAATAGACACAGCTTTGTGTCACAATAAAATTGAGAATTATATATACACTTTCCAATCAAATTACATGATGGAACAATTAATTTGACAATAAAGCTTACCCCTTATCTTCATTGATTGATTTTTATTAAAATAAAAAACTACATTAAGAAAATAACACATCAAGATAAAGAAATTAGGGAAATGTATTAAAGGATTTCACTGATATAAAGTTGCCTCAAATAGGGTTTCTATTCCAACTTGTGATTAAATCTACAAACATTATAAGATATTCATATGGCCTTGATTTTAATCTAAGGCTATCAATTGAATATCATTGTTTATAAGTATCTACAACACGAACTTTATGAGTATAGGCCTAAGCGGGTGCTAGTTAGCCACCACAGCAATAGACTCTAAATTTCCTTAGTCTCTCCCATGCCTACCCACCTTCAAATTGAACATCATATACAAAGTTTTTTAACCCATGGCATCGTGAAAACTTAGAATTGACCCCCCTCAAATGTTTGGCCAAATTGCCAATTAGCCGGCACTGCATTGTAACTAGTAATGGTCCTTCCATCACTGGTAGTGACTTGAAATGAGAGAGATTGGCTATTGAGCATGGAGTTGCTTTGCCAGTTTTGACCCCAATTCCTTGACATGGGTTGCCACTCTGTTTTGGACCCCTTGATCGACACTGAATGGACGTCCCCTGCACCGCCAACATTGCTAACCAAGACCAGGTTGAAGTAAGAGTGGCCATTGATTGTAAATCTTATTCCTCATTTCTTCACACAGGGCACCCTGTCAAGACCACCACACAACAATATTCGTTAGTTAATTTAAAGAAGGGAGAAACCACTGGCAGTAAGACTCGATCCGAGTATCACACTCGATAAGACATCACAAACTCATTGGTCTTTATTCGATAGTCAAATTAACTAGCAAAGATTAAGCAAATTGCTTTGACTAATTTTTTAGTTAATTTGTTTGACTTTTAGGAATGTTGAGGGCATATGTACATAATACTACTTGCAGAAAAATAAATATAAAAAGTTCTACATGACATGAGAGACATAGAGAGTGGTGTTGGGTCCACACCCTTATCTGTGTTCAGTGCAACTAGCAAAGTTGTGAGGGTAATTAGAGAGCAACCCTTACCTTTGAAAAGAGACTGGAACAATTCCAGCTCTGTATTGAGCAATTTGTAAGAAAGCAGGCTCTGCCAGATCAAAGTGTTGGAGGGGAGGGTTGCACCACCCACCATTGTCATTAGATTGCACTATCAAGCGTCATTAAAAAAAGAGTTAGTGACACTTTAATGTCAAGACTAAAACCATTCAGCAATACTTTAATGTCATGATAGACACTATTCGTGACGATAATTCATTGTGGAACAATTTGATCCGCTCTTGCAGAGAGTCGAACCGCCAACCTCTCGCACCGTAAACCTTAAACACCACACTTTTTTCACTACACCTCTATAGCACCACATGATTATATATGCAACATATATTATTTATATAGTACATACATCCATATTAATATAAAAGTATATGTATAAACATAATTATTTTATTGAACATAATTTATGTAAAATAAACTATTTACTACCAAAATAAAAAAAAGACCACTTTTGGCGACTAATATTTTTTAGTCGCCAATTCTATACTTTTGGCTACTAATTATTTTTTAGTTGCTAAAAAACTTAACTTTTGTCGACCAAAATCTGATTTGGTCACTGAAGATGCACTTTCAGCTACCAAAATTTTGGTCACAAAAAAATTTTATTCCCACCTTAGGATTTTAGTTCTCCCGCGCTAAAAATGACCACTTTTGGCGACTAAACTTATTTTTTAGTCGCTAATTGTAGACTTTTGGCTACTAAATTTTTTTTTGGCACAAAAAAGCTTTACTTTTGGTTACTAAAATTTTTTTAGTCGGTAAAACCCATATAATCAGCGATCAAACTTATTTTTAGTCGCCAATTGTAGACTTTTGGCTACTAAATTTTTTTAGTCGCCAAAAAGCTTTGCTTTGGGCTACTAAAAATTTTTTAGTCACTAAAACCCATATAATCAGTGACCAAACTTAGTTTTAGTTGCCAATTGTAGACTTTTGGCTACTAAAATTGTTTAGTCGCCAAAAAGCTTTACTTTTGGCAACTAATGCTGTTTTGGTCGCAGAAAGCTATACTTTCAGCGACCAAATTTTTTTGGTCAGGAAATTTAGTCGCCGAATATGCTTTTTCCTGTAGTGTATATTGAGTTTAATTCATTTATTTTTAATCATTTACTGCATTTTAAAAATTTAGAAAATATATTGGCATTTTTTTTGTTTTTTCAAAAATGTCATTATAAGCTTGGAAAGTTTTTGGCTTAGTGGCATTTCTCAAAATGCTATAAAATATTTGTTTATGACACTCTTCACTTAAGTGCCATAAAAAGTAATTTGCACCTACCTAGTGTCCTGACATTTTTAAAAAAATGCCATTGCAAATATTCATAAAAAGTTTTTGTAGTGACATTTTTGTTGTAGTGAAGTGACACTTTTTTTAATTGAAATGCCACTAGAGCCTTGTATGTTTGTGGCTCTATGACTTTTTTCTAAAAAATGTCACCAAATATTCTTTTTGTGACATTTTTTAAGAACATGCCACTAGTATGGTGTCACTAAAATATGTTTTTGTTGTAGTGTTGTGACACTTGTTCATTCAAATGCCACTAGAGCCTTTTATGTTTGTCGTTTTGTGGCATTTTTCAAAAACGTGCCACTAAATATCATTTTTGTGACATTTTCTAAAAATATGTCACTAGTGTAGTGCCGCTAAAGTATGTTTTTGTTGTAGTGGTTGAGGGTATATGTGTATAATATTAGTTGCAGAACAATAAATATAAAAGGTTCTACATGACACGAGAAACATAGACAGTGGTGTTGGGTCCACACCCTTCTCTGTGTTTAGTGCAACTAGCAAAGTTGTGAGGGTAATTAGAGAGCAACCCTTACTTTGAAAAGATACTGGAACAATCTGTATTGAGCAATTTGCAAGAAAGCAGGCTCTGCTAGATCAAAGTGTTGGAGGGGAGGGTTGCACCACCCGCCATTGTCATTAGATTGAGAAGGGTTAGGTGGACAAAAGTTTGTAGCAGTCACAGTGATGGTCCCAGGGAGGCACCATTGTGGGTCACTGTTGCATTTGATCTGATAGCATGCCCCGCAACTCAAGCCATTGTTGAATAGAGCAGTGCTTAGTGCTGCGGTGTTAGTGCCATAGCCTTGGCTATACAAATTGCCATACCCACATGCACCTCCTGCCACACCAAAATCAAGTATTAGAATCCCAAAACATTAAATTTATCAAATTTTACTAGAAAAATGTCACTCTTTTAACCGTCAAGTTTATAAAACTCAAACATATTATGGGTCAAAGCAAAATGTGAAGTTATGGGTCAAAGCAAAGAAATTTTGTTCTGCAAAATCAGTAATTCTAAAATTACATATTTTATTTATTTACAGATAAGCGCTCAAAATAACGACACTGCATATTCATCTCAAATGGGGCCACTAGTGTTGTCAATACTACATTTTTTATTTATTTTCTTAATTTTTATTTATTTATTTATATATTTGTTTTTTTTTTCTGTACTAAATGGAAAATTTGTCCAACTTACCCATTGTGCCAGATGCATCACCCCCACCATAGAAAGCGGCATGACCACCTTGCCACCCTCCATAGTGTTGGGAGAAAACAAAACAAAAAACCAAATTTGAAATATCCGAATCCGGCACAAAAATAGCGGAAGTGTTTATTCTCCCTCTTTGTGTGAACCTATTAGGAAACAATTTAATAGAGCACAATATATTCTGAAAATAATCTGAAAACAATGATCAAACAATCACACAATAAGGCGATAGCAATTTTTAACGTGGAAAACCTTCCCGATGTGGAAAGAAAAAACCACGGGACCGTAGTCCACCAAATATCTCCACTATAAACAAATAATGGGTATACAAGAGCTCTCTAGATAGAACTAGAGGCAAACAATCAAGAACAACTTACAAATAAGCTTCCTTGGCAACCAAAGATCAAACTACAAAGTTTAGGAAAAAACTCACGAAAAACAGTACTGTTCACGGGCCAAAAACCAGCAGTATAAAACTCCAAATCTGATCTCCACCGTCCAGAATTTAGAGTCTTGAGTTGTGAACTCGCCTACCAAATTTCAGCTCAATCGGACCACAGATTCTTGTTGATCGGATAGCTTGATCACTGATGGACAGAATTTCTCCTCTCCTCTCTGTTTTGGTGGCAGCTTCTACGTCTCTTTTTGTGTAGAGAAAGGGTTTGTAATCCTAAACTTATGGGCCAGATCTTGTCAAAAAACATAACCTCTCCATGTGGGCTTTGGAATTCACATGGGCTTACTAAATGTTTTGGGCCTTCCACCACATAGGATGGAAACCCAACCCAACACAGTCACCAGAAGTGCCGCAGAGGCATAAATCGAAAGAGAATAAGAGTAGAAGAGAAACAATGGAGAATACTTGAATAGCCATTGATATATATATATATATAGAGAGAGAGAGAGAGAGAGAGAAGATTGTGCGGTAAGAGCTTCTTAGTACAAAGAGGGGAAATGGGGCTTTACTTAAATAAGGGAATGGAGGCCAAGTTGAGGACTGTGAGAGGGTTAGATAGATGGGGGCACTGTTGTATGGTAGAAAGTGACACCCTAGCCATGCTCACTTTTGAGAGATTGCCAAAACCACAAAACCTGAAGCAAAATGTTTTTCAAGGTCATGTACAAGGGATCAAAGTTGCACATGCAAATGTTCCGACTAAACTACCAACTGCAAAGCTCAAATGACCCCACAAAGCACACTTCACAACTGTCTCTATGTCATTAATTTATTCATTTTCCTCTCCTTCCCTCTATACTACGGATTACATGTCTTTCATATGGACAACTTTTTATTTTTTCCCCCCTCACATCCGACTAAAATCACAGAGTCTACTAATGGGTAATGTGGACAGGTTTAATTGGAGAGTTTGGGGCAGATTTGCAGCTACTTTGCGTATTTCTAAAAGATGCACCGGATTCTTTGACTCAAAATCTATGCCCTCTGTTTCGAATGCACTCTCAACCATATGATATGGTGAAAATTTTGAGATACAAGAATCTTAAAGTATGATCAGGTAGCTGATAGTGTGTTGGGATAGAGATAGGGATTTCGGGGACAGAGGATCTTGTGTCAGTACTCTAAGCCACCATTGCATTGTTAGTAAACACATTTTTTTTTTTTTTTAAATTTTGTTTAAGATTTGAAGAGTTTAGAGCTTAAAAAATTCAATTATCCTGTCAAATTTATGATTTGCCAAGTGTTAGTGGACTGTGTATGTTAAGCCTCTAGAAATGTCACTACTACAAAAATAGTTAAAGATCACACTTTGACAAAAAAAAAGATCTCACTTTTATTGGAAGTGTGATAAAAAAAATTAGATTGATATTTTAATCACACTTAATTTGATTGAGTGTGATAATATTTATTTTTTATGTCACTTTTCAATTAAGTGTGATTATATCAATTATCCTATCAAATTTATGATTTGCCAAGTGTTAGTGGACTGTGTATGTTAAGCCTCTAGAAATGTCCTCTCTGACCTATCCCTGCAATGGCATCAAGATACGCATTGTAACGCTGAGAACGACAATTTTTATTATATTATAATTTTCCATTTTGAAAAACACAATAATACCATGAAGTCAAAAAACGTAGTTAAAAAATGACAAAAAAATGAAGTGTGTGAACTTGATTCATTATGTATAATATATATAACCCAAATCACACTAAATTTGAACTTCCGTCACACTTTATTTTCTTATCATAAATTTCCCCCAAAAAACTTCAGTGAAATCTTGTTCTCCTTAAGTCAACAAAGAACCATAGCCTCCTAGGAGTAACCAATATGCAAACAATTGCACATCCGAAGTTAAGAGCTCATGTTCTTTGTAGGTACCATGTGTTAACTCTTGTATGGTAAAAAAGCTTTGAGATCCGGTTGAGCTCGTACTGCCTAGCAAAACTAAATGCTGAATGAACCAGATATAAATTTCAAGCAACAGACTTTAATATTTATATATATATTGCATTTTTCAACAATGTTTTGTAGTTATAGCTGAATCTTCAAACAAGAATAGGGATTGTGGATGCTGGATAAGATTATCTATGAACCAAAGGTCAGTTATTCTTTATGAATATTATGGAAGACAAAACTATGTTAAAATTCTTTGTAGGTACCATGTGTTAACTCTTTTATGGTAAAAAAGCTTTGAGATCCGGTTGAGCTCAAAGTGCCTAGCAAAACTAAATGCTAAATGAATCACATATAAATTTCAAGAAACAAACATTAATATTTTTTGATTATATTGCATTTTTCAACAATGTTGTGTAGTTATAGCTGAATCTTGAAACAAGAATAGGGATTGTGGATGCTGGATAAGATTATCTAGGAACCAAAGGTCAGTTATTATTTATGAATATTATGGAAGACAAAACTATGTTAAAAAAAAGTTTTGCAATACAATATGTCAATCTATGACATAGCGATAATTGTGCATATCATTGAAAATCATAATGGTACATGCAAAAATGGTTTTATAATCAAGTTTTTAATTCTAAACCTGACTTATTGTCAAATTTGTTGTTGACATTAAATATTAGATAAAACTAGAAGGGCTAGTTAAAAAATAGGGAGGGGACTTGTTTAATACCCTGCCATGTTAGGAGCACATGCAAGTACTGGTCATTGTGGACCCTTTTATACATGCATCATTATCATAGTTTTAGAACCATCCATTTCCAAGCTTATATATATATATATATAAAGGGGTCACACTGCCGGCTATTGCATACGCAGTATTACCCCACATGCAGAAAGATTATTTTCGTATAATCCGAATGAACTTGTTGAAAATCAATACAAAAAGAACAGATGTTCTGGCTAGCGTTTTCTTGGCTTCTTTTGACAAGAAAATTGGGGAATTAATAAAAATCTTCTTAGCATCCAATTATTATTAATTACTAATATTTTTTTCATCAGTAGAAGCCAAGAAAATGTTTTGGCCAAAATCTTCAAAGTTGTCTCTTCTGGAAGAGAATATTGTGGAGGTGGAGCAAAGGATCTACACACCCAGCCCTTCAAGATTTACTCTCTCTCTCTCTCTCTCTCACACACACACACACACACACACATAATAACATAATGACTGTAAAATAAATTGATAGAGAGAGAGAGCAAATGAATAAATGTGTATATATATTTGTTGTGTGTTTATACAAAGGGAGCTTAGCTCTCTATTTATAGACTGATATTGGGCATGCCATGCGAGACGCGAGGCACCGAAAGGCAAGGCTAATGCTTTAGCCGAAAGGAACAAACACAATGATAACAAAGGCGCCGAAAGCTAATGCTATAACAATGCTATATTATATACAAAGTATAATAATATACTAACAATGACAAAGATCCATGGGAATTTGGCTTTCATGTTATGTAAGAAAATAATAGCTTTGCAATCAATTGATGGCAATGTGATATGAACTTGACAATATCATATAAATAGACCCGAAAAAAAGAAGAAGAAGTTGTTTGGTTTTCAAGTTAAATTTTATAAATTACATGCTTAAGTAGTTGTGCGTTGAAAATCTAAGTAGCACAGACATAGACATATGACATTATAAATTAATTATATATCATATATATGAATAATTTATTCAAATATAATTAAAAAAATTTAACATAAATTAAAAAGCTATATATTACTTAAATTAAATATCAAGATATCATTTATATAGCAATTACATTCAAAATAATGCAAAACAATTATATGACATTGCATTATACGTAATGTATTCATCTTATAAATGTTTCTAAACATATTTAGGATGCATAAGTTGTGTTATGAAGAATGGAGAACATTGTTATAATGAAGGGGTTCATTATATAGGATGTATTTGGAGGGTTTAAGAAGTGTCACCAAAGTGTCCCCGAAGTGTCCGATGTTATGAATTTGATTTTTTAATCAAGATACGTTGAAGAAGTGTTTGACACGCTTTTAGGAGTGTCCAAAGAGTGTCGTGTTAGATACGGGTGTCGGACACGACATGCTTCCTTTGTAGAAGTGTCCATACTTCTTAGTTGAAAATGTAATATGTTTGTTATTTTTGGTAGACCTTTATTTTCCTTTTCTACTCAAAAAACTCAAAATAAAGACAAAAGGCTAATTATCATGGTGAAGAAAGAAATAAGTGGAAAACCTAAAAAATTATCAAACACCCTAATTATCAACATTTGTTCTATAATTTTACTACCTTTAATTTTGTATGACAAGAATGAGCAATTAATTTGAGCCATAAGACAAATATTTCCCGTTCTTTGATTTAAGAAGAGTATGGTTTCAATTTTTTCTATCAATATTTGTTTCAATTTTTACGAATCCGACCAGTTTCTGTGATCATAAACCCCCTAAGTATTTTTTCACTTCGAGAGTTTGCAACAAACCCTAAACCCACAAAAGGCATGTCATGAGGGGATTTATCCGAATGTTGTTGGTTAGAAACCAATGAAAGTGCCCTTCACGAGGGTTTGTCTGTTACTCCCACTAGTGAGAGACTATGACATCCCTCAATATGGAAAGAAACATAAGCAAGAGGGACATGAAGGGTCACTTTAAGTGGTACTTAATAGAAGGGTCACCACAAAGCATTTGCAGACAGCCCACATAAGCTTCCAGGGACCAAAACTCATACCGGTAATTGATGGCGTAGTAAAGAAACGTGCATTGGATTCATGCACAAAAACATACTTAGAAAAATAATGTATGATTCAGATTCAACTCCTGTATGACAAAGTCCACATCTTGAATGAATGTGGATCATATTAAATTTTCTGGGTATTTTCCTGAGCATGGATTCTATGTGCATTCCAGTGGTAGTTTGAGGTGGTAGGCCACCGATGGCGATGTAATATTCCATGTTAGTTATGTTTAGGGTCCCAAGCTCAAGTTTTGTGATCCGAATGTTGCATCGGGATGAAAAGGTCACGTTCTGAATTAATTAATTGTTTGGCCTATGCATACAAGGAGAGAAACATAATAATGTTTTTTATTTTATTATTACTCTTTCACCATTTGAGGATTCTTATATGTACAATACAAGAACAAGAGAAAAAGAACCTTTATTATGAGATGGGCGTTAGTTATTCTCTCAGTATTTTTATCTAATTTTGTGCAAGTAAGTCAATTTGTTGACAACCCAACAAAAAATCCAACAATCCAACCGGAATCTAAAAATCCCCAATTACACAGGCAAAACAATAAAAAAAAGCAGATGTGAGTAATTAAGAGAGAAGAAAACAGAACTTAGGCCTCGTTTGGGAACAGGCTAATTTAGTAACTTTTTGGCTATTTGGCTAAAATATGAGCTAAAAAAACTAGTATGTTTGGGATGACTTTTTGGCCGCTGGAGAGGGGGACAGCGTTGGACATAGTCGAAACCGTAATGCTGGGTTTGGTTTGGTTAAGGGATTTGAGGAGGATTTGAAAAGGAAAAGTGTGTAAAATTAAATAAAATATAGACATAATTTTTCTTTTTATTTTTTAAATTTCTTCTCAAATCTTCTAATTAATTTTTT